CAGGCATCCGCTTCCATGTCGGCCCCAAAGTGCCAAAGGGGGGGGACGCAACTGGGGCAGGCACCTGGGCCTTCTCACCTTCACAGGGCTCGGAACGCTTCTGCCTTTCCAAGATGCCCAGGGCAGCTGTTGTGTGGGCTTGGAGCGATATGTAAAGGTTTCCCTTGCTCGAAAGCTAGTCGAGCCTGACTCTAGGGGGGCAGTGCTCATCTCAGTTTCCAAGCCGAAGAGCCGGCGCTGTCCGAAGACGTTTCCGTGGCCATGTGGCCGGCATGACTAAACGTCGAGGCGCACGGCACGCTGTGACCTTCCCACTGAAGTGGAACCTATTTATCTACTTGCAATTTCTTGCTTTCAAACTGCTAGGTTGGCAGGCAAAGGAGGGGATGCAACTGGGGCGGACACCTGAACCTTCTCACCTTCACAGGGCTTGGAAAGCTCCTGCCCTCCCAAGATGCCCAGGGCAGCTGTTGTGTGGGATTGGAGCGATACACGGAGATAAAAAGGGCTCTCCTGCGTCATGCTGGAGTCCCCACAAGGCCAGGCAGCCCACAAGCAGGCCACAAGGACAACAGACCTCCTCTGCTGTGGCCCCCATGCTGAACAACAGGTCTTCAGAGGGACACCATCTCTGTACCTGGAGGTTTCATGGAGACAACCATGGGCAACAGCCATCTGTTGGCCAGCCCTCCGTGAATTTGCTTCCTCCCATTATAAAGCCATCAGCTATCGCTACATCTTGCGGCAGGCAGTTCCATAAGTTAAATTATTTGCGGTGTGAATTCACGTGCCTTGAATTCACTGCCCATCAACTTTGTCAGGTAACCCCAAGTCCTAGTGTCAAGAGGAGAGAAGGAAGAAGAGTTCTCACTGCCCAAAAGTTTTCTGTGTATAAAAAGAGCCCTGCTGGATCAGGCCAGTGGTCCATCTAGTCCAGCCTCCTGCCCCACACAGTGGCCAACCAGTTCCTCTGGAGGGCCAAAAACAGGGCAGAGAGGCTTTCCCCTGATCAGAACATTAGAGGAGCCCTGCTGGATCAGACCAGTGGTCCATCTAGTCCAGCATCCCGTCTCATACAATGGCCGACCAGTTCCTCTGGCAGTCCAACAAGATGGCGTAGAAGCCAAGGCCTTCACCTGAAGTTGCCTCCTGGCACTGGGATCCTGTGGTTTAGTGCCTCCGAACATGGAGGTTCCCTTCAGTCGCCACGACTAGTAGCCACTGATAGACCTCTCCTCCATGAATCTATCTAGTCCTCCTTTAAAGCAGTTTATTCTTGTAGCCATCAGTACATCCTCTGGCAGCGAATGCCACATTTTAATCACTCTCTGTGTAAAGAGGTATTTTTTTGTTTTGTATGCACATAAAAGGTATGGCATACACACATTCACTGCATCTGCAAAAAGAGTCCAGGTGTGCTCACTTTACAAATGAAACCAGGGACCAGTACCTGGACAAAGGTAGGATTTAAATCCCATGTTCAGCTGTACATACGTGGAATGTAACCTGAGAATTACTCAACACGCGTATAAAGAAAAATACTGCTTTACCCAGAGAGGGATAAAAACATGGAATTCGCTGCCAGAGGATGTGGTGATGGCCACAGGCCTAGGCAGCTGGGGGGTTAGACAGATGCACTGAGTGGCTACTAGTCACTTAGAGATGTAAAATTTCCGGAAATTTTGAAGCTCGGAAAAAAAACCGGCTTTTTTCCGGGGTTTTTCGGGCGGAAAGGGAAATTTTCGGAAAAATTGAAAAAAATGCTACATTCGCATTTCTTTTGTCTTTCCTAGATTGAAAGTCATTCTGTTACTTTAGGAACATAAAATATGACTATGGATATTTTTACTTGGCATGAAATTATCACAACTAGCATATTAAAAATAGAGTGTATCCAAACAATTATTACAAACAGAATACCCATCCACATGCAAAAACAAAACTGAAACTTTTTTATTTTCTTCTGACAATCGCACCTCCTAAAGGAAGAAATGCATCTTGTTCTTGCATTGGAGAGTTCAGTTTGTAACCTAGGACTTGCTTGTCCTCAGTGCACAGAAATTAGATCAATCTGATACCATATATATATATTTTAGAAATGATTTGGTAAATATTTGAACACCTTGTCTTAAAATATTTTATTCATCATGTTAAAATAAAACATTCCATAATCATTTTTTTTCTTTTCTTTTTTCAATTTTTCCAGTTTTTTGGAAAAAAACAAAAAGGCTTCAGGAAAAAAACGGGGGGGAAACGGTTTTCCCCAAAAATTTTCCTGTTTTTTTCCAGGCCTTCACATCTCTAATAATCCCTAGAAAAGAGTTTGCTATTTTCACCACTGAAGCACACTGGGTGGACACTTCCACTGGGCTCTCCACTACGACCCCAAGACCTTTTCTCCTCTCAGTCGCAGCAAGTTCAGACCCCCGTCAGCTTATACGTGAAGTATTTATGTAGAAAATTTCTATGCTGCCTCTCCAGGGAACTTGGATCAGAGTTGGTTTTTGTTGGCTTTCCACCGCTAAGCGTCAATCACAGCAAGAGCAGATTTTTCAAAGTCGGTGAAAAGATCCTGGAATTCCCAAAAACTGTGGCAAAGCCACTGCTGGCAAATCTGCAAAACTGCAGCCACAGTGGATTTTGAATGTGCCAAGTTATGAATCTGCAATCAAACTTCGTTCAACAGGGGATGCTTCCTTAACTGACCCTCACAAGCATGAGAAATTCCCTTCTGTGTTTGGCAGTAAACACTGCCAAACCTCCAGGACATGATTCACGTAATTATAATCACCACATGTCCCAGCAGTCAAAACAGGTGATGTGTGCATATGCACCAATGCCGTCAGGGAATGGAGGAGTGAGAAGAACCATGCACCTTCATGCATGGGAGGAGAGAGAAACACACTCCTCCACCACCCTTAAGAACATAAGAGAAGCCAACGTTGGATCAGGCCAATGGCCCATCCAGTCCAACACTCGGTCACACAGCGGCCAAAAATACCAGGGGCCCTCAGGAGGTCCAGCAGTGGGGCCAGGACACTAGAAGCCCTCCCACTGTTGCCCCCCCCCCCAAATGCACCAAGAATACAGAGCATCACTTGCCCCAGACCGAGAGTTCCTATCTATACCTTGTGGCTAATAGCCCCTGATGGACCTCTGCTCTATATGTTTCTCCAGTTCCCTCTTGAAGCAGCCCATGCTTGTAGCCGCCACCACCTCCTGTCGCAGTGAATTCCACGTGTTAATCACTCTTTGGGTGAAGGACTTCCTTTTATCTGTTCAACCCTGACTGCTCAGCAATTTCATGGAGTGCCCAGGAGTTCTTGTATTGTGAGAAGGGGAGAGAAGTATTTCTTTCTCCACCTGCTCTATCCCGTGCATAACCTTATAAACCTCGATCATGTCACCCCACAGCCGTCGTTTCTCCAAGCTAAAGAGCCCCAAGCGTTTTAACCCTTACCTCCAGCCAGCCGTGGGAAGGTGCGGTACCTGTCCAGGTTTTCAGAGACCTGCTTCCAGAGGCGCTTGAAGGTTCTGAAAAAGGGAGAGAAGGAGACAGTGAAAGGACCTGATGAAGAAAAGGGACAGATAGCGTCTCCATCAGCAGTGAGTTCCGCAGGATAAGACACTGGGTGAAGCACACTCCTGCGCAACAATTTCTGCCTCTTCTGCGCTCTCCTTTGCTGCCCTTTGGGCCTGGAGCTCCTTCTTCCTATATGTCCACATTGGGGCCACCTCTCTCTCCCCCCCCCCATTTCCTTTCTGAAATACACCTTCACAAAACAGACAGAATGGGAGGGACTTGGCTTGACAGCAGCACATGTGAAAGGGATCTAGGTGTTCTGGTTGATCACAAGCTAAACATGAGCCTGCAGTGCGATGTGGCTGTGAAGAAAGCTAAGGCAATCTTAGGATGCATTAACAGAAGCCTTGTGTCCAGATCACGAGAGGTGGTAGTTCCACTCTATTCTGCTATGGTCAGGTCTCACCTGGAGTCCTGTGTCCAGTTTTGGGCACCACATTTGAGGAAGGATGTTGACAAGCTCGAGCGTGTCCAGAAGAGGGCAACCAGGATGGTGAGAGGGTTGGAATCCAAGTCTTATGAGGAAAGGTTGAAAGAGCTGGGTCTGTTTAGCCTGGGAAAGAGAAGGCTTAGAGGGGACATGATTGCGGTCTTCAAGTATTTGAAGGGCTGTCATGTAGAAGATGGAGTAGATCTATGCTCTCTTGCTCCGGATTGCAAGACTAGATCGAATGGGTGGAAATTACAAGGGAGTCGTTACCGGCTAAATATCAGGAGAAACTTCCTAACTGTAAGCGTGGTTGAGCAGTGGAACAGACTGCCTCGGGAGGTGGTGGATGCTCCTTCGCTGGACATTTTCAAGTGGAGGCTGGGGTGCAGGGGGGTGGACTAGATGACCTGCAAGGTCCCTTCCAACTCTAACATTCCATGATTCTACGAAACAGCAAGAGCCCTTGATCCTGCAGCACGCACACACACCCTTTACGATCAAAGACGGCAGGCTCCTGGGTCAGGGAACCGGGGGTCTTTTTAAGTCTTGCCCTACTAGTGCCTAGGGGCAAAGGAGGACCACAGGATACGCAGGATAAAAAGGTCACCCTTTGGCATTTTTAGACTCTACCCTTCCCCTACCCACAAGGACTAAGAACTTGACTCCCCCCCCCACTTTAAGGAATCTCAAGTCAGCTAAATTCTCTTCTCCTCCTTGCCTAACTTTTTCTCAGCAGGTGCTTTCTTCCTCCAGATGTGTCCCGGGGGGGGGGCTGCTTCCACCCCACCCAGCCCCTCTCTCCTGCTTCTGCTCCCCCCCCCTCCGATTCCAGAGGCCGCAAGACTATTAAGAAGCAGGGAGGCCTCCGCAAAACCTCTGAACGTGGCTACGGTTGGGTGCGCCTCTCGCTTCTTAAAGATGGGGACCTCATAAATTAGCACCAGCGAGTGGAACTCCTGGTGAGAGGCCATTAGCATTTTTATTGTTTTGAAAAGCAGGGGTTTGGTCACACTTGGAATCAGAAAAAAGCAATGGGGGGGGGGTGTTTGGAGAAGGCACCAGGGAGAAAGGACTGAATCATCTCTCTCTCTCTCTCTCTTGCTTTGCCTGTGTGGCTACAGACAGGAAGTAGAACTTTACAAACAGGAAGTGTGGCAAATGTGACTTTCAACACAGAGGGCGGAATCTCATCTTTTTTTTTAAAAAAAAGGGGGAGGAATGGAAGCATGCTTTGCCCCAAATTTGATGCCCCACATCTCTGGTTTGTTTCTCACAGGGGCTTCACCCTTTCCACGAATGATCATCATGCGTGACTTGAATCCATAGGTGAAGGCTGATAAAAGTGCGGTTAACACAAATTCACTGATTTGTGGGCTCTTTTTGTAGCAGGAACTCCTTTGCATATTAGGTGACACACCCCTAATATAGCCAATCCTTCAAGAGCTTACAGAGCTCTTCTTACTAGAGGATGGGCTACATTAGGGGTGTGTCGCCTAACATGCAAAGGAGTTCCTGCTACAAAAAGAGCCCTTTGTGCCATTCTAATATGAGAGAGAGGACCATAGGTCAGCGGTAGAGAACCCGCTTTGCACGCAGAAGGTCCCTAGCATGAACCATAAGGAAAAGTGGGGTATAAATATTTTCATTAATAAATAAGCTGAACCCTGGGACCTCCAGTTACAAAATCTCAAGCCACAGGGTACCAGGAAAAACCCCTGTCTGTCTGAGACCCTGGAAAGCCGCTGCCCCAGTCACAGGATGGCCTAAGGGTGCCAGGCTCAGAGATTTATATGTTTTAAATCAGGGGCGTCGAACTCATTTGTTATGAGGGCCGGATCTGACATAAATGAGACCTCGTCGGGCCATGTGTGTCATCAACTGTAATGCCAGGTAGCGGAGATATAAACTTTATAAAGGACACAAACACAAAAGGTTGTTTTTTTACTTAAAATAAAATTAGCGCTCTTGCAATATTTTGTTTATTTAACCGTCTGATAACTGACACCTCTTGCTCTGAATTATTGCATCAAGATGTCTGTGCTGCTGCAATCTTGAGTATGCTGCTCAGGCGTGTATCTATAAGCTGCAAACTACGATGGCGCAGCAGCGGCAGAACTGGAAGAAGAAGCAGCAGAAGACAGCCACTTCTACTGCGGGCCTAACAGAAGCCCTCCGGGGGCCTGATCCGGCCCGCGGGCCACATGTTTGACATTCCTGTTTTAAATGACTGTTAATTTTAAGTTATTTATATGTTTCCTGATGTTTTAATAGTATCTGTTTTTATGACTGTTGTAAGCTGTGCTGAGCAGCAGCAGCAGCAGCAGTAATAATCATAATAATAATAATAATAAAAATGGGACAAGCACAGGGAGAATTAAGGCGAGGGCCGAGTCCCCAGCAGGAGTCTGCCCTTGGGCCCTCCCTGGTTTCCTCCAAGACTCAGCCACAGATGGGAGCCCACGCTTGAAAAACGGTCAGCTCGGGAGAACTCGCCCAACACTGGGCTCAGTAGGGATGTGCATTCGGTTCATCTGAACCGAAAATGGCCCATTCGGGCCCCTTCTGGGCTGCTGCGGGCCAATTCAGATTCTCTGATCTGAATTGGCTTGCTGCCGAATTGCTGCCGAATTTCAGCGGCAATTCTGCCCCATTATATCCTATGGGCCATTGAAGTAACTTTTTCCCCCACCATAGAGAACAATGGAGGGGATGGGGGGCAACCTGTTTGGGGGCCCATAGAATTGGACCCCCTGGTCCAATGTTCTTAAAACTTGGTGAGTATCTTGGGGAGAGGCTCCAACAGCTACCCTGAGAGCTTGGAGCCTCTCTCCCAAACCCCCTCCCCTCCAGCCCCCAGACTATACCCTATGTTTCCGCCATTGACTTCAATGGCCCATAGGATATAATGGGGCCGAAATTGACATTGGGCTGGCCAAAAGACTCCCCAATGGCTCCCACTGCCGAAATTGACATGCAGAAGTCTTTCTGCCCCATTCGGCCGAATCCGAATGGGGTCAAGTTTATTTATTTATTTTTGCACACCCCTACCCGCCCCCCCCGCCCCCCGTCACCTGACGCACGACTGAGCCACGGAGATTTCTGAGCCTGAAGAATGCTGAGAGAGAAACGCCCCGCCCTCTTCCAAAGCCCTGACCTAATTCGCAAGCCCCCAATCAGGATGCTAGAATCACAAACAATGCAATGGATTTAGCCCTGACACGGACAGCCCAGGCTGGCTGAATCCCGGGAGCTAAGCAGGGCCAGCTGTGGTTAGTTCTTAGATGGGAGACTCCCAAGGAAGTCAAGGGCTGTGACGCAGAGGCAGGCAACGACAAGCCACCTCTGCCTGTCTTTGGCTCAGGCTAGCCGAGTCTCAGGAGCTAAGCAGGGACGGCCCTAGTTAGTATTTGGAAAGGAGACGACCCAGGAAGTCCAGGGTCACTACGAAGAGGCGGGCCGTTGTAGGAGAGCAGTGCAGACATCTGCGTGGCAAACCCAAATGGATTCACTGTTCTCCTGCCTGTTCTCCAGGCTAATTGCACAAGGCAGAAACATCTGCTGATGTGCTGAGTTCATCGTGAGAAGCTACCTTGGCAGAGGGACAAGAGATAAGGAGCTGTGAGCTTCCGGGATCAACACATTCCACAATGATCGTATGCCTGTAACTTTCCCTTACGCGGGGAGAAAAAGGGAGGGGGAAAGGAGGAGATGGACTTTCAATAAATATAGCTGGTGAGTGAGAGGATTCATTCAAGGATTCATTCAGTCAGTCAGCTTTCTGCAGAAGCTGTTTGTGTCCTGTCTTCTTTGAACCCCGGCAAACTACAGGCCATGGCAAACCACCACCAACTGTCTCTTACCTTGAGAACCCCGAAAAAGCTGATCCCCTGAAAATGTTGTTGGCCTCTAAGGTGGCACTGGACTTGAATGCAGCTGTTTTAAAAACCGGTTAAACTGAATACAACTCTGCAACATTTTGCCCCCCCCCCCCTTCATTCAGTGTTTCTGGTCATTCCTCTTCCACAGCAACGTGGGGGACTGCTGAGCAGGGCCCCTCCCCCCCTCACTCACGGGACGCTGCCAGTGAAGTTGAGCCCGCAGAAGTGCTCCGAGGCCGTCACTGTGTCGCCAAAAACGGGGCCGTCAGCTGGGACAAACTGGATAACGCTGGGAGGGAGGCCGGCTTCCAAGAGGCTCTTGTAGACGGTATAGCTCGACAGGATGGCCGTGTCGCTGGGTTTCCAAAGGACCACATTACCCTGGTGTTCGTGGGGAACGGGACAACAAAAACTCACATCAATCCTCTTTCAGAGGTCTTTCAGACCAGTGCTAGATAAAAAAGGAATTTAAAAAACCACTGCACATCCTTAAATAGGTGAAGGAGCAGTGCCGGATTTACGCATAAGCTAAATAAGCTACAGCTTAGGGCCTCGCAATCTGCTGAGGCCTCAAATAAAAACACAATATAAAAATGATTTCAAATATTAAAAAGGCGTATATATTTTAAATTTTTCTGAGACCAGCTGATGTAATTTAAAACAGTAGGGGGCCTCTGGGTTTTGTATAGCTTAGGGCCTCAGCAAGTCTAAATCCGGCCCTGTGAAGGAGGCAGTGCTCCCTCTAAGCTGTGGACTCTTGTGAGCAAGCATTCTACTTTGTGAGCTACCAGCATTAAAGTTGTGAGTGAGCGATTTGGCAGCTGCACAAATTAGTTTGCTCTGGAGCAGTGTTCCCTCTAAGCTGAGTTAGTGTGAGCTAGCTCACAGCTTTTTAGTCTCCGGCTCACACATTTTTGTCTGAGCTCAGGAAGGATGGCTCTGGAGCAAACTAATTCATAGAATAGCCAAATCTCTTGCTCACAACTTTACTACCAGTAGCTCACAAAGTAGAATTTTTGTTCACTAGACTTCACAGCTTAGAGGGAACATTGCTCTGGAGCCCTCCTTCCTGAGCTAAGGCAAAAGTGTGTGGGCCGGAGGCTAAAAAAACTGTGAGCTAGCTCACACTAACTCAGCTGAGAGGGAACACTGGAAGGAGGTAGTGGGGATAGCGTGGGAATTCTACTAGGGTCTCCTATTCACCCTCAGTTAATTCAGATCTGTCCCAGGAATCCAAGCAAACCAGTTCTAGAGGAAGCTGCAAAGAACATTACTGGATCAGACTGATGGTCTACCTAGTCCAGCAGAGTTTCCAAAGTGGCTAACCAGATGCCTCCTGAAAGTCCTACATGCAGAGACAGAGAGGCCAAAGTGTCCCCCTGTTATTCCCTCCCCCAGCAACTGGCTTTCAGAGGTACACTGCCTCTGGCCATGGAGGCTCCATTCTGTCATCATAGCTAATAGCCATCGGTGAGCCATTATTCTGAACGGTCTAATCCCCTTTTAAAGCCACCCAGGTTAGCAGCCATCGCTGTGAGAATTTCTGACTTCCTATGAAATTTTGCAAAGTTGTTATTTATTTTTTTTAAAAAAAAGCGCCCCCTAAATGCTTCTCTTTTGATTCTCAGCTCAGCCGTCAGGAGGGGCCCCCAGACGGCTGGCTCCGGTGATAGATCCCACGCAAAAGAACCATTTTCCTTAAGAACCGCCGAGCACCGCTGGAAGATACGGCATCCCGGACGCGCGGATGCTCACCATCAAAGCGGGAGCCCCTGCCAGGTTTCCTCCGATGGCGGTGAAATTAAAGGGAGAGACGGCAGCGACGAAACCCTGGAGGAGTGGGGAGAAAGGGATGAGCGACACGCTGCAATCAGCAGGCTCCGAAGGACGACAAGCGTGTCAAAGAAGAGGGCGGGACAGAGACGCCAGCCAGCCGAGGGACCCGCCGGAATGTCATTAGCTTCTATCCTACACAGGGGGACATTTCAAAGGAACACGGAAAGCCGCAGAAGGGGACACAGAGTCCTGAATTCTCACCTCTGCTCTCAAGCTTTTATTTTTGGGGGCAAGTGGCTAGCCCTCATGAAGATAAGCCCAGAAGCTGGGGGGGAGTGGGAGGGGGGCTATTTAAGACCCCCAGGAGCCAGGACTTCCCCCTCCCCCACAACTAGCAAAAGAAGTAATTTGAACAACAGCATATTTTGGAAGTGGGAAAAAAGAGTAAGAGTCCAGGAACACCTTAAAGACTAACAGAATTATCCGATATCTGAAGAAGCGAGCCGGGACTCCCGAAACCTCCTCCTCTGCCACAGATTTTGCTCGTCCTGAAGGTGCTCCTGGACTCCCGCTCTTTTCTTCTGCTACAGACTAACACTTGATCATTTGAAAGGACGGGGAATGCACCAAATCTGGGGTTCTTTTTGTAGAACATGCGGCCCTGCTGACGCGGGGCCACCAACGGCAGACTGTGAGAAACAGAGGAAGGTGAACAAAAGGACTTGAAGGGCCGTCATGCAGAGGGCGGAGCGGAGTGGTTTTCTGCTGCCGCAGAACCAACAGACTGAGACCCTGTGCCCTGGTGGGTCTGTGCCGTGCTGATCCAACCGGAAATACATGATAATTGATTAGACAACAACCCTATAACTGTTGTTGGCTATGCCCACCATGGCAAATAACAGAATTGTACTTCACCCATCGCATATGTATAATTAGCATTTTACAATTGGTCTAGAACTGTTTAAATCTGTTCTTAACTTTTTATACAATCCGCCCTGAGCCTGCTTCGGTGGGGGTAAAGGAAAAGGTTCCCTTGCTCGAAAGCCAGTCGAATCCGACTCTAGGGTTGCGGTGCTCATCTCCGTTTCCAAGCCGAAGAGCCAGCGCTGTCCGAAGACGTTTCCGTGGTCATGTGGCCGGCATGACTAAACCCCAAGGCGCACGGAACGCTGTTACCTTCCCACCGAAGTGGTCCCTATTTATCTACTTGCAATTTCTTGCTTTCGAACTGCTAGGTTGGCAGGAGCTGGAACTAGAGATGGGAGCTCACTCCGTCATGCGGCACCCGGGTCTCGAACTGCTGAACTACCGACCTTCCACAGCCTGCAGTTCAGCGTCTTAACCACTTGAGCCACCGCAGCTCGGTGGGGGAGGGCAGGGTAAAATTGAATGAATAAACAAATTAATTAACTCACTAACTAACCAACAGGCTGAAATTAAATCAAAAGAGGTTTCGGCTCAATGTCAGGAAGCACTTCCTGGCAGTTAGAGCGGTTTGTTCCTCGGTGGAACCGGCTTCCTGGGGAGGTGGCGGGCTCTCCTTCTTTGGAGGAGGTTTTCAAACATGGGCTAGGTGGCCCCACCTGACAGCAATGCGGATTCTGTGGATTTAAGCAGATCGGGAGAGGGAGGGCAGGAAGGGTTGCCTCAGGGCTTAGTTCTTGCGGCCCTTTCTGACATGCCCAGGGAAATGCTGCCACTTTGGGGTCAGGAAGGAATCCAGGCCAGACTGGCTGGGGACCCTGGAGGTTTTTGCCTTCCTCTGGGCACAGAGCAGGGGGGTCACTGGGGGAGGGGGGCAGGGAGCTGTGAATTTCCTGCACTGTGCAAGGGGGGCAGGACCAGAGGACCACTGGGGACCCTTCCAGCTCTGTGTTTCTAACCACGGTCCCTGGCCCCCAGAGCTTATTCTAAGAAGGAGAAGGAGAAGAAGAAGAAGAGAAGAGATTGGATTTATACCCCCCCCCTTCACTACCCAAAGGTGTCTCAGAGCGGCTTACAAACTCCTTTCCCTTCCCCTCCCCACAACAGACACCCTGGGAGGTCGGTGGGGCTGAGAGAGCTCTTTTAAGGACTGCTCCTGAGAGAACTTGTGACTGGCCCAAGGTCACACCAGCAGCTGCTTGTGGAGGAGTGAGGAATCAAACCCAGTTCTCCCAGATTAGAAGAGGAGGAGGAGGAGGAGACTGGATTTATACCCCATGGCCCTTCACTCCCCAAAGGAGTCTCAGAGCGGCTTACAATCTCCTTTCCCTTCCCCTCCTCACAACAGACACCCGGTGAGGTGGGTGGGGCTGAGAGAGCTCTTGACAGAAATGGCTCTTTTTCAAGGACAGCTCATGACTGAACTACGGCTTGCTCAAGGTCATCCAGCAAGTGCAAGTGGAGGAGGAGTGGGGAATCAAACCCGGTTCTCCCAGATTAGAGTCCGCGCACTTAACCACGACACCAAACTGGCTCTTTGCTGGGCAGGTGCTCAACCTCCTCTTCTCCAGACTGAACATTCCCAAGAAGTCCCTCAGCCTTTCCTCACATGGCTTCTTGGCCTCCAGCCCCCCCCGATCATCCTCATCGTTCTCCATTCATCCATCCCAAATCCATTTTTAAGAACTTAAAAGTTGGCCAAGCACCCTTATGCAGGGAAGTCCCACCAGAACTACTTCACAATGTTGCTGTGAGGATATGATTGGGGGGTGGGGGGCAGGAGGACCTATGTTTGGAATGAAGGAAGGGGAGAGAAAATTGAACAATAAAGGAAGAAGTCCATAATCCCAGCTCAAACACCCCCCGCCCAAGGATCAGCCGCCACAGGGGCCGTGGCCCCTCACTGCACCTCCAGCCCCCGGTACACCATGCTGTTGGTGCTGGGGGGGACGCTGAGGGGCTGCTGCTCCTCCAGTTCCAGGGCGTATTTGGCATTGAAGCGGAAGAAGTCAATCAGCTCAGCAGCCGCGTCGATCTCTGCCTGAATGACCGTCTTAGCCTAGAAAACAGAGAGTCGGGGGAAAGAGCTCAACAGCTTTCAGAAGGGAAGACAACGAAAACGAAGACGAAGAGGAGGAGGAGATTGGATTTATACCCCACCCTTCATTACCCAAGGGAGTCTCAGAGCGGATTACAAACTCCTTTCCCTTCCCCTCCCCACGACAGACACCCTGTGAGGTAGGCGGGGCTGAGAGAGCTCTGAAAGAACCGCTCCTGAGAGAAGAAGAGACTGGATTTATACCCCTTTCCCTTCCCCTCCCCACAACAGACACCCTGTGAGGTAGGTGGGCTAAGAGAGCTCTTTCTAGAACTGTCCTTGAGAGAACAGCTGTGCCAGAACTACGGCTTGCCCAAGGTCATCCAGCAGGTGCAAGTGGAGGAGTGAGGAATCAGATTAGACTTCACACACTTAACTACGACACCAAGTGGTTAAGAGCCAGTTTGGTGTAGTGGTTAAGTGCGCGGACTCTGATCAGGGAGAACCGGGTTTGATTCCCCACTCCTCCTCCACTTGCACCTGGCTGGATGACCTTGGGCAAGCCGTAGCTCTGATAAGAGCTGTCCTTGAAAAAGAGCAGTTTCTGCCAGAGCTCTCTCAGCCCCACCTACCTCACAGGCAGTGTTCCCTCTAAGCTGAGTTAGTGTGAGCTAGCTCACAGTTCTTTAGCCTCTGGCTCACACATTTTTGTCTTAGCTCAGGAAGGATGGCTCCAGAGCAAACCGGTTTATGCAGTAGCCAAATCGCTTGCTCACAAGTTTAATGCCAGGAGCTCACAAGGTAAAATTTTTGCTCACAAGACTCCATGGCTTAGAGGGAGCACTGCTCACAGGGTGTCTGTTGTGGGGAGGGGAGGGGAAAGGAGATTGTAAGCCGCTCTGAGACTCCTTTTGGGTAGTGAAGGGCGGGTTATAAATCCAATATCTTCTCTTCTTCTTCTTCAAACTGGCTGTCCGGAGAGAAAGGTCCCTCATGGATGCATTACGTGTGTTTCTGTGTGTGGAAGCTGCCGTTAAGTCGCAGCCGACTTCTGGCGACCCTGTCGGGCTTTCAAGGCGAGAGACTGACAGAGGTGGTTTGCCGTTGCCTTCCTAGGGAAGCATACCGGAATCCTCATTTGCCCTGGGAGTTCTGTCTCAGAAAATTTTCCTTTGGGGAAGACTTGGCTAGAAGTGTTTTACATCTGTGTAAGGTCTACTTGTTGGGAGTTACAACTTAAAACACTGTTCAGTATTTACTGAGTTAATACTGTTTACTAAATCACATGTTTGTTTGTAACCAATAAGTTTAGAGAGCTAGAAAGCCCGGCAACTTCAGATCTAGTTTGTTGTTCTGATTGGAGACGAGAGCGGCTAGTATTAGCATTTTATGGCTCTTTGTCCTGAGCAAGAAGAAGTTTAGTCTCATTTAGTCTCCATTACTTTTCTGCCATGTTCTGTCTAGCTGTAAGGATGTAGGAATATAGCTCTTTGTTTGTTATTTTTCATCCCATATACCTTTTCCCCATGCTAGGTTGTAGTAAACTTTTATATTTTAAACACACCATGGACTCTGACTCTTTAATACTCTGCTGAATGCTGATTACTCTGCTGATTAACTTTAGAAATTAATAACAATAACCCAACACTACTCCATATCTACCCAACTGACATCCACCAAGGAATCAATTTTCTTCCCCTGGTCAGATTCCATCCCCTCCCAAATAAGGGTGAAGAAGAAGAGAAGAGACTAGATTTATCCCCCGCCCTTCACTCGGAGTCTCTCAGAGCGGCTTACAAACTCCTTTCCCTTCCCCTCCCCACAACAGACACCCTTGTGAGGTGGGTGGCGTTGATAGAGCTCTCTTGAGAACTGCCCTTGAGAGAACAGCTCTGAGAGAACTTGTGACTGACCCAAGGTCACACCAGCCAGGTGCAAGTGAAGGAGTGGGGAATCAAACCCGGTTCTCCCAGATTAGAGTCCATGCTCCTAACCACTGCACCAAACTGGCTCTCAAACTGGTGGAAGGTCCCGGTCACTAAGAACTTTGCAAAAAGTTCAGTCAGCTACGATTTCTTCCGTGGCAGATAGCAAAAACAAGCAGGGGTGGAATTCTATCTCAAGGGTGGTGTCGTGGTTAGAGCCCCGGACTAGGAAGACCTGGGAGACCCAGGTCTGAATCCCCACCTGTGCCACGGAAGCTGGCTGGGTGACCCGGGGCCCGTCGGAGACAGTCATAAGAACATAAGAGAAGCCAATGTTGGATCAGGCCAAAGGCCCATCCAGTCCAGCACTCTGTCACACAGTGGCCAGAAATACCAGGGGCCATCAAGAGATCCAGCAGTGGGGCCAGGAGGACACTAGAAGCCCTCCCACTGTTGCCCCCCCCAAAAAACACCAAGAATACAGAGCATCACTTGCCCCAGAGTCCCTATCTACACCTTTGTCTAATAGCCACCGATGGACCTCTGCTCCATATGCCTATCTAATTCCCTTTTGAAGCCGTCCATGCTTGTAGCCGCCACCACTTCCTGCGGCAGTGAATTCCATGTGAGAATCACTCTTTGGGTGAAGAAGCCTGACCTACTCCACAGGGTTGTTGTGAGGCTAAAATGGTAGAGAGGATGACGTCAGGGGAGGGGGGAGCAGAGAAAGAAAGCAACTTTAACTTTAAAGGTGTTCTTAAAGACACACACACACCGTCGCCAGCTGGCTTGGAAAAGGCCTTGTCTCTTTAAATCCCTTCTCCAAGCCCGATGGAATGGGGGCAGGGCGTGGGTTAGATGCATTTGGAAGATGCATTTAAAGTTGCTTTCTTTCCACCTCTCCCTCCTCCCATCTATTTGTTTCTTTCCATCTATTTGCTTTCTTTCCGTTTTCTTTCTTTCCACCTTTCTTTCTCCTCTCTTTCTTCCCTCCCTCCCCATCTAAAGTTAAATATCATTATCAATATCTATTTTTTACCCCTTTTGTTTTTATTTTTGGCAGTCTCGTCTAATGTTAATAAAGAGCAAATTTGCACATTTTCCAATAAAAACGTGTGGGTCCTATTCCTTCGTGTCTCGCGGCTCTCAAACACCTGACGTTTATCCTACGTGGCTCTTCCGTTAAGCAAGTTTGGCCACCCCTGGCCCAAGGCCACCCAGCAGGCTGCCTGTGGAGGAGGAGTGGGGAACCAAACCCGGTTCTCCAGTTCAGAGTCTGCCGCTCTTAGTCACTACTCCACGCCGGCTAGGTGAGCGGGGGCCTCCTCCTGGGCCCGTCCTGAATCCCACCCCTGAGAAGAGCCACAAAGCCGGGTCTGCTCAGGCGAAATTTTTCGTGTGGACAGAGGACAAGCTGCGGCTGCCAGTCCCAGCCACTGCTCCCACAATCCCTTGCACCGCTCACGGGGTTTCCAGCCTGGCCACCTACACCCCTTGCCTCACCTGTCCGACCATGGTCTTGGCCAGCACCTCTGCCCTCCGGGGTCCACTCAATATGTCGGCGGCTTTGAAAAAAATCTGTGCCCGGTCTTGGACGGGCCGAAGGTCCCACTCCTTCCTCGCGGCCACTGCAGCGTTGATGGCTTTGTTCAGCAAGTCCTGTTTGGCAGGCAGAAGAGCCACACTGCAGCACTGCATCCAACAGACGACATCCGCCTCTCACAAACCCTCCCCCCTCTGCTACCTGCCCACCAAATCCTCCCCCTTCCATCCTCCACCCTCCCCTAGCTTCCCCAGGCATTCTGCCCAGATCCTGTTAGATGTTCAGTGCGAGACTGAAGCCTTTTTATCAAGCCACAACCACAGACTCATGCAGACACACAACAGACAGCCTCTTCTGAAGACAAGCCCGTCTGCTGCAGCTCTTCATCAGGAGTGACTGAGCAACCCAGTCGTGCCTGATGGAGAGAGACGTGATAATTATCCACCTCTGCAGCAGAGACTGATCAGTAGGGAAGAAGCAGTAAATCATGCAGAGATGCAGCGGGCAGGCTCCTCTCTGGGCAGGTACTCACCTTATCGGCATAGCAGTATTTGGCCACTTTGTGTGAATGCTTAAAAGGCTGGGGGGGGAAAGGAAACAGAGCTTGAATACAGGCTCAGCGAAAGAAAGAAAAAGCATTTTCAAGGTAATTCTGCAGTCCCCAGAGAAATTTTTACCAGCTGTGTTTTATCAAGAACTAGATTACAGTGTATTATTAACGGATTATTAAACGTCTTAATTGATAATGTTAGGTTTTACATTCTTTTCTGTAGTTTGCTTTTATATTCATACGATGACTTGAATGCAACCTTGGGCAGGGAGGCAGCAAAAGCATTTTAAATGAAAAAAACCCACAAAGTCAAATCAACTGATCACCGCCAGGCTGCTGCTGCTGAAACAAATTTGGGGAAAGGGCGGCTCCCTGGACTTCAGAGTCTGCGTGCAAAAGCATCTGAATTTCCAGCCTGGGTCTTTTTTGAAATCACCTGTGCAGTGATGGATGCTGGTGGGCGGAGGAGGGGGGGGAGTGAACTTGCCAAATTAATATTACTGTCGTCATCTTTATCATCAAGACTGCATTTTTTAAAAAAAAGTTAAGCTATCTCTCTTTCTCTCTTTTTAAAATGTCCTTCGGAACAAAACTTCAAAATCGAAATGTTCAGCTGCAGATTCTGACCCCCTGCTGGTTTTGAAAATGGGATGAAATCCGATGACGACTCTGTGCAAGTGGGACTCACCGACACTTGATACCGCACGTCTGCCGTCCACACCTCCTCACCCCCCACGACACATGGAATCTCTTCTGTCTTGTCTTTCAAGTCGTTCAGAGCCTACAAAGACAAGAGGCCCCATAAGAACCGTCAGATTTGCTGCCCTGTTAGCCAAAGGCCACAGGCTCCAGAAGAAGAATTTGCACACACACCCTAATTACCTAGGTTAAAAGCAGGGAGTGGACAGTTTCTATCAAGGAAATGGCCCAAGGTGGAAGAAGAAGAAGAAGAGATTAAATGTATACCCCGCCCTTCACTACCCAAAGGTGTCTCAGAGCGGCTCCTCTCCCTCCCCCTCCCCACAACAGACACCCCGTGAGGCAGGTGGGGCTGAGAGAGCTCTGACAGAAACTGCTCTTTTTTCAAGGACAGCTCTTATCAGAACTATGGCTTGCCAAAAGTCATCCAGCCAGGTGCAAGCGGAGGAGTGGGGAGTCAAACCCGGTTCTCCCAGATTAGAGTCCGCGCACTTAACCACGACACCAAACTGGAGAAGTAAAAACTGCCATGCCTGGTGCTACGGCCCTGATCCATCTCAGACTCCACTCTCCCCCCGTGTTGCTTTTTAAGACTAAAGTGTATTTTGGGGATCCCAGAATCCGGCTCTTTGAGATCAGGACGGGGTGCAGGAAGAGGGGTGGGACAGGCCATCCAAAATATTATTAGAGACCAGTCCCTCCACAAGACTTAGTAAAGATGCTCAAAACACAAACTGGGGAGGAGGGGAGGAAGAGGAAGGGATTCTGCCCCCCCCCATACCTTCTGGAGAGCCTGCCGTTCGGGGCTGCCTGGCTTGAACTCCAAGATGGGTTCGTTGGTCACCTCCGCTGCCACACGGTGTTGCCATCGCAGCCTGGAGAAGAGGAAAGAGGCTGGTGGTTCACTCGGGTCTAAGTCAATCATTGGGAGTCCCACTGTCTTGCAGGCCCATCGGGACGCGGCCAAAGGTGCCCCGCGCCTCCCCCAAAAAGAGCATGACCTTTGGATGCAGAAGGCCCTGATTCCAGTACTTGGCATCTCAATCGATGCCAGCTTGCAAGTTGTGGGAACAAGCATTCTCTGCCTAAGATCCTGGAGAACATAGGGCGCAGGAATGACCATCCAAAAGGGACCAACGGCCCCTGGAAGAAAAACCATCTCGTATTGCTGTCATTGCAATTTCTGTTTTGGTTTCAGACTTTGCCAGTTTATGCAGTCCCTCACTTAAGCTGAAAGAACTGGAAAACAATTGTGCCAAACTTAGTTTTAGCTGAATATACATCCCCAAATCACTGAAAATGTAAGTACCCAGAGAAGAGGAGTTGGACTTCTGGGGAGAGCTCCTTACGATGATGGTGCACCATGACACAGTGGGTTTTGGAGGAAGGAAATTCGTTGTAAACAACAGGAGAGATATTTTTAATACCCTCCTAAAATACATCTCAGGGCATAAAGCAAGAAATAGGAATATGGCTTTTACTGGAAGTCTCTTAAGATTTGGCAATATATCTCTGCAGAGTTTAAGTCCAGAAATACCCATGCTAACGGGAGGTTTGTACACGGGATGCTATTAAGTTACTAATGCTACTACTCATGTTAATACAAATTCTTGTAATTCCTTAACGACTAGCAAACTGATATGGCATAATCTTTTGGGAGCTAGAGCCCATGATGTATGGCTCAGAAAAGCTTATGCAACGGAGACTCTTTTTAATTATCAGAGTTATTAGGTGCCGCAAGACTCTGTTATTACAGCTGCAACAGATAACACACCTAACCCAGAAAAAGCAAGAGTCCAGGAGCATCTTCAAGACTAACAAAATTTGTGGTCGGGTAGGAGCTTTCGTGAGTGACTACTCACTTCTTCAGTCACTGCTGCTAACCCAATGTAACATTTACGTAGCACTTTCAGCATTCACATCAATCTAGAGATTACCCTTGCTGAAATCCTTACAGCATTCCTATGAGGTAGGCCACTAGAATCCTCCCCTTCTATACAGTTACAGAAACATATGGAATTAACGTTCCCAGATGCAGTGACAGGTGCTGCTGGGCGAGATGGTTTTTTAAAAAGCGTTGGATGATTCAACAACTATTAGCCATGGCAGCTATATGGAACCTCCATGTTCAGAGGCAGCGAAGGAGGAGGAGGACGAGATTGGATTTATACCCTGCCCTTCACTACCCGAAGGAGTCTCAGAGCGGCTTACAATCTCCTTTCCCTTCCCCCTCCCCACAACAGACACCCTGTGAGGTAGGTGGGGCTGAGAGAGCTCTTTCGAGGACTGCTCTTGAGAGAGCTGTGACTGACCCAAAGTCACACCAGCAGCTGCATGTGGAGGAGTGGGGAATCAAGTAAGTATATTACAGGGAAAATTCTAAATAGGTGTGGGTCCAACAATGAATGTTATAGTGACTATTGTTAATGTATTTTTAGAATCAATGAATGTGTCAACTTGACGGTAACACTGAATATGAGATTCCTATATAGGGTAAGATGGATTTACTTATCAACTTTTATACTCACTTTATTTTATAGAGACTGATAAACCAATGTAACATAATGTAATTTCAATGTAATATCACTGGAATTCTGTGTTTATAGATTTGTTCCTTAGGAAAGACCAGAGGTCTGAAATATCCAGAATAAGTGTTGAAAGAGAGATTGAATTTGGAGCAGACTGCTTTTGAGAATAGAAGACTGCTAGAAGGATATTGACGGAGAGAGTTTGGAGCAGACTGCGATGTGTAATTTTATTGACCTTCTTATTTTTCCTATGAAGGAATAAGTAGTTGTTTTTCATTAGCAGACACTAAGTGATGTTATGGCTTTAATCTACTCTTTCGTCATTGTATTATTTTGTGGGCATTTAGCACACATCTGTATATATTTTTTTCATACCGGAGTGGGGAATCAAACCTGGTTCTACCAGATCAGAGTCAGTGCTCCTAACCACTACACCAACCTGGCAATCGCTGACAGCAATAACAGGAGAAACTGGCCTCTGTGACCCACTTTGTGGGCATTTGGTGGGCCACTGTGGGGGGGGAAAGGATGCTGGTCTAAATGAACTTTTGGTCTGATCCAGGAAGGATAGGAGTGGTATAGTGGTTAGAATATTAGATTGGGATCTAGGGGACTCGGGTTCGAAACCCCACAGGGTCATGGGCACTTGTTGGGTGGCCTCAGGCCAACTACGCACTCTCAGCCTCACCTGCTTCATGGGGTTATTGTGGTAAGGATGAAACGGAGAAAGGGGAGAATGCTGAAAGCTATTTTGGGTCCCCACTGAGGAAAAAAGCAGGGCTGAAATATCTGAATCAGTAAGCTTCTTATGTTACTTTTTGTGAACTTTGTACAAGTCTCAAAGACTTGCACACAAAACGTTCTTCGGAAGGCCACACTTCAGCAAATCCATCCTTCCAAATGCCTGCTTTTTAAGCCCAAAGTCCAGAGTGGGAAAAGTTTGGTCAGCACACCAGATGCCTCTGCAAGTCACGAGACCCTGCTGCGTCCTGATGCAAAGGCCGGGCCATTTGGCATGCCCGAGATCCCGGCGGTCGGCACCTGGCACACAGAAGGAACGTCAGCTTCTAGCAAATCCAGAAGCAGTTCGGAACAGTGCACCGGAGGGATACAGACCAGCTGCCTGTGTTTGCTTTCCCCAGACAGCAGCTCTGCCTCACAGAGCTCCTGGCCACCTTCCTATCACTTGCAACTCCGATAAGTTCAAGCCCTCATTAGCTGCGATAAGGGCCATAAGGAAAGGTATGGGACAGATAAAGAGAGCACACGTTAGTTCTTCCTGGGGCAGGGCAAGGAAAGTGGATTCAGAGAGATACAGGAAGAGCTTCTGGAAACACAGCGGCTGAGTAGGAGACCTCAATTTAGGACAGTGGAGGGGGGCTACTTTCCCGGGGCCCCAGCACCAGCACACACAAAACACTTCAGGTTTACCTCTGTGGCATTATATATACAATGGCTGATCCATGGATGAAGATTAAAGTGCCATAAAGTAATTGAAGTGTTTTATTATAACAACCGATGCCAAGTAAAAATGGTTTTACTGCAATTTTTTTCTTTTTTGAGCTCTGAATGCTTTGCCGCTGTTTCTCCGGCTGTCTGAATTTCTTGTTCCAGGGGGATTTTAAGGATACCGTTTTGTTTCATGAGGACTGATCCGTTGCATCTGAAGAGTTGGGCACCAGGCCCCAAACGCTTGTGCTGGGATATCATTATATTATTATTATTATCATTATTATTATCATTATTACCCTTCGCCCCAATTAGGATCAACGAGGCAGCAAACATTTTTTTAAAAAATCAAAACATTCCAGCAATTAAAAATACAGCTAAAACTATAAAATAATTCCATTGGAACCACACAAACAGACCACATTAGAAGGAGGGCCAGTATGTCAGACTGGGGGGGATGTCAGACGAAACAAAAAAGGCTTCACTGACTGGGGAAAGACACCGGCAGAGGGAGGGAGACCCGTCTCCCTGTGGACAGAGTTCCAAAGATTTGATGCCACCCCTGAGAAGGCCGTTTTTCAGCCTGCCACCTGTAGGGTGACCAGCTCTGGGTTCGGAAATACTTGGGAGGTCTGGAGGGCGGGGCCTGAGGAGGGCGGGGTTTGGGGAGGGGAGGGGCCTCAGCAGGGTATAATGCCGTAGAGTCCGTTTTCTCCAGGGGGACTGATCTCTGTTCCCTGGAGATAACATAAGAACATAAGAGACGCCAATGTTGGATCAGGCCAAAGGCCCATCCAGTACAACACTCCTTGTCACACAGTGGCCAGAAATACCAGGTGCCATCAGTAGGTTCCCCAGTGGGGCCAGGACATTAGAAGCCCTCCCACTGTTGACCCCCCCCCAAGCACCAAGAAGACAGAGCATCACTTGCCCCAGAGCCCCTATCTATACCTTGTGGCTAATAGCCACTGATGGACCTCTGCTCCATATGCTTATCTAATTCCCTCTTGAAGCCGTCCATGCTTGTAGCCGCCGCCACCTCCTGTGGCACTGAATTCCAAGTGTTAATCACTCTTTGGGTGAAGAAGTGCTTCCTTTTATCTGTTCTAACCCGACCGCTCAGCAATTTCATGGAGTGCCCACGAGTTCTTATATTGTGAGGAAGGGAGAAAAGGACCTCTTTCTCTACCTGCTCTGTCCCATGCATAATCTTATAAACCTCAATCATGTCTCCCCTCAGTCGTCGTTTCTCCAAGGGATACAGATCCCAGGAGCACTCCAGCCACCACCTGGAGGTTGGCAACATCAGCCACCCGTCTAGCTTCAGATGGCGGGAGCAACCAAGGCAGGGCCTCCAAAGATGACCGGCGTGTACAGGTAGGTTCATATGGGAGGAAGTGGAGTTCAAACTGTGTTTGTCTGCAAGGTGTCACGGGATTTCTGTCCATGAGCTGCCTTGGAAACCTTAAGTGAAGGGCAAGGGGGAAATACTGATAGAACTAAACAAGAATATCAGACAACGCAGTGTTCCCTCTAAGCTGAGTCAGTGTGGGCCAGCTCAGAGTTTTTTAGCCTCCGGCACACACATTTTTGTCTCGGCTCAGGAAGGATATGGCTCCAGAGCAAAGTGATGTTATGCAGCAGCCAAATCGCTCGCTCACCACTTTAATGCCAGTGGCTCACAAAGTAGAATTTTTGCTCACGAGACTCCACAGCTTAGGGGGAGCATTGCAGACAAGCAAAGGTGGCTGAGCCTGAGGGTACCTGTAGTCCAGCATCCTGTTCCCCACAGGGGCCCGTCTACCAGAGGCTCTCAGGAAGCCCACCCGCAGGGGAAACAGGGGCCAAAGCCTCCTCCTGTCGTTGGGTGAGGGAAGGCGGAAAAGACTTCTCCCCTGGAAGGATGCTGCCTTTGGCAGTGGAAGCTCCATTTAGCACAGCCGACGGGCTAACCCCTTTCGAAACAGGATAATAATGAGCATCCTCCAAGAAAGGTGCGCCGGGTGCCTTCTTATGACTCAGACCCCGCAGGCTGAAGCTTCAGCCCCACAGTTCAGTTTCAGAGGCTCTGACCCTGCTTGGTGCCTGGAATGATGAAATGCCAGAATCCCTCCTGGGGGGGGGGGGGAGCCTTACACAAGACCAGCAGAACGTGTTTCTGGTCCTTTCTCTTTCCTTTTAAGCATTAAGGCCCAGTGGCCTGCACTCTGCAGTGGGGGGAAGTTTCTGGGTCTGGGCAAAGGCCTGAAAACTCAAGGTCGGCTGCAAGTAGACACTGGGATCCGGCTGCTATGCTTCTGGGGTTGCCAACTCTGTGTTGGGAAATTCCTGGAGATTTGTGGGTGGAGCCTTGGAAGGGCAGGGTTCGAGCAGGGGAGGTGGGGGTGGTGATAATACCACAGAGTCCATCTTCTCAAGCAGTCATTTTCTCCAGGGGAACTAATCCCTGTCTTCTGGAGATCGGCTGTAAGTCTGGGAGACCTCTGGGCCTCGCCTGGAGGTTGGCAGCCCTACATGTTCAGGGCAGGGGACAATTCCCAGAACACCCCCCCCCCATTGCAACTGCTTCCAAGGCATCCAAACCCCACCCCGAAGGTTAAGCATTGCAATTGTGAAAGTGAAAACGTTCTCGCAAGAGGGAGGGATTGCTCCTCTAGAAGAGCCCCACCTCAAAAAGAAGGGGGCCAACCTTGCACTGAAATAACCGGGGGAGGGGGCAGGGGGGTCTTAAAGACAGGGCACGGGGATCGCCCTACACAGAATTGCGGAGGGGTGGGGGGTTTGGCGGAATGGATGGGAAGGGCGCAGAAGTGGAAGGGGACAGAGAGCAGAAATGGAGACATGTTCCCCTGCTGCCATAATTCAAGCAGAGGGGATCCACTCTGCCTGGGAAAGACGGAAGGGACAGCCTCCACCGTCCTATCCTTATAGGGGAAAGTTAGTCCAACTCCAGACAACTCCTGCAAGGGCTGACCCCAAAGGAAAGGAAAGGAAAGGCTAGCAAGACCCCCTCCCCAGGAACGGGGGAACAAGGGAGTGGGGGATCCGCTACGGAAATGCCACTGGCAAAAGAACCTCCCCCCCCCCCGCATAAAATGCAAAAAGAAAGGGGGGGGTCTGCCATAGAAGACCCCTCGCCCTGACAGAGGGGAGAAACCAGCTGACCCCCTGCTTCAAGGGGGAGGGGAGAGGAGGAAAGCATCCCGGGCATGCGTACACGCCCCAATGCAGCCCCCCCCCCACTCACCCCACCCTGGGCAGCGTCCTCCGCAGCAGCAGCAGCGGCAGCAGCATGGTCCTGGGCGGGGAGGGCGCAGAAGGGGATCCCCAGCCTGGGCGCCGCGCACGCCGGAGACGGGAGCGCCTGGTCGGACCGGACCATTCGCATGGAGCCGGGGGGGAGAGCTGTGTACACTTTCACTTTTCCAGGGAGGGAGCAAGACGGCTGTTGCCTGCCCTGCCCGAAGCTCCCTTGCAGATGAAAACAACCAACTTTTAAAAAAAAATTCTTCCAGAGATCAGAGCGGTCCCCCCTTTCTTAGCTCAAACGCCCTCTCTCCCCCCTTCAAGAGCAGCGTATGGTCTCGTCCTTTCTTCTTTAAGGAAGGGGGCGGGAAGGTATGTCGGCCAATCAGAATCCGTCCCTGCAACGCCCCGACCAATCAGAAGGTGGCCTCAAGTTGCAACCCCTGCTTGAAGGGCTGAAACTGACCGAGCAAAGATGCCTTTGAAGGGGGGGATTAGCGGGGGCGGGTGGATGGGCCCCGATCCCAGCAGGTATGCGTCCCACGCACCGCCCCCTGATGCTCACTCACCTGGCCCCTGCAAGGTTCCTGGGGGAAGAGCTGAAGTCTACACTTAATTCTAGTTTTCTTACTGCTTGTTTTTGGGGGGGTTGTCTGTTTCGGGTAGGGAGGATTGGTTTTTTGTTTGGGGAATGTTGACCTTGAAGTAGTTTCATCTCATTTGCGAGTCCTGCTTTAGAAACTTTCATAAGAACAGTAGAGAAGCTCAGTAAAAATCAATACAATCAACGAAGCTCTGCAAAACCCTCGCTCACTGGACGTTTGCGCAACCCCGCCCTTTGAATCTGAGGAGGTCTTTCCTTACGAAAGAAGCAAAAAACAAAACTGAAACGAAATGAGAAAGGTGGATCAGAGGGGGCGTGGCCTACCCTGCTCATCTCTTGGGGGGGGGAAGAGGCCTTCTTGGCTGTGGCCTCCCCGCTGCCGATTTTGCCCCCTCCCCGCACTGTACACCTGGCACCAGACACACATACATGTGCTTGCCAAGGCTTATTTATTTATTTATTTATTTTTACATTTATATCCCGCCCTCCCCGAAGGCTCAGGGCGGCTCACAAGGGGCATAAATGCCGAAGTTAAAACAATAAAACAACAGAAAACAGTATAAAATACAATAAATACAATTCACTAAAAATTCCTTCCACGGTGCTCCAAGGATATTTAACTATAGATTCAAGATGGGGGTTCCAAGAAAACGTATGCTAAGCAACAACAGTAATGATAACAATATAGAGTAACAACAACATAGGTCCCTACAGCGCTGTCATATGCCAGGAACGGCTCACACCCCCAGTATTGTCCACTCCAGAGATGGTCAATTTGCGGAATTAAGAAGAAAAGGGGGATGCAGATGGACCATTGATGGTGGCGGCGGCTCCTACTCGAAAGCCTGGCAGAAGAGCTCCGTTTTACAGGCCCTGCGGAACTGAAACAGGTCCCGCAGGGCCCGGATCTCTTCTGGGAGCTAATTCCACCAGGTAGGAGCCGCCACCGAAAACGCCCTGGCCCTGGTAACTGCAAACTTGATGTTCCTGGGGCCTGGAATATCCAGGAGATTTTTATTCCCTGACCGTAGTGCCCTAGGGGGAACATGTGGGGAGAGGCGGTCCTTTAGGTAAGCCGGACCCTGACCATATAGGGCTTTAAAGGTTAAAACCAGCACTTTGAAGCAAATCCAGTATGGCATTGGCAGCCAGTGCAGCGCTTTCAGCAAAGGCCGAATGTGATCCCGTCTAGTGAGACCCATCAACAGCCTGGCTGCAGCATTCTGAACTAGCTGCAGCTTCCGCATTTGCGACAAAGGCAGCCCCATGTAGAGAGCGTTACAGTAGTCTAGCCTCGAGGTAACCGTCGCATGGATCACTGTAGCCAGGTCATCTCTGTCGAGGAAAGGAACCAACTGCCGCGTCAGCCGAAGATTGTAAAAGGCCGACTTGGCAGTGGCGGCCACCTGGGCCTCCATCGTTAAGGTGGAGTCCAGAAGCACACCCAAGCTCCTAACCTCCGAGGCTGGTACCAAAGGTGCCCCGTCGAAGGTCAGGAGAGGGAGCCCCAACCCCGATCCAACTCAGGCCCAGGACCTCCGTCTTTGCCGGGTTTAGTTTCAGCCGACTCAGTCTGAGACAACCAGCCATGGCCTGTAATGCCCGATGAAGGTCATCCGGGGTGGAGTCCGACCGGCCGCCCAGCATCAGCTAGACCTGGGTATCATCTGCATATTGATGACACTCAAGCCCACAACTCCGGGCAATCTGGGCAAGGGGGCACATGTAGATGTTAAACAACATCGGGGACAGCACTGCCCCCTGAGGCACCCCACATTCAAGGGGCCACCTCTGGGACTGCTGATCCCCTATCGCCACCCTTTGTCCCCGACCTTGGAGAAAAGAGGCAAACCATTGAAGGGCGAGCCCCTGAATCCCCACGTCAGCAAGGCGGTGGGCTAGCAACTGGTGGTCGGCCGTGTCAAACGCGGCCGACAGATCTAACAGCACCAGTGCCGCCACACCGCCACGATCCAGATGCCTACGGAGGTCATCAGAGCGACCAGTACCATCTCTGTCCCATGACCCGGGCGAAATCCGGACTGGAAGGGATCGAAGACAGAAGCGTCATCCAGAAAGCCCTGTAGCTGTGTCGCCACTGCCCTCTCAATGAGTTTGCCCAAATAGGGCAAATTGGACACCAGCCGGTAGTTGGCCAATTCGGCCGGGTCCAAAGATGTTTTTTTCAAGAGAGGGCGGACCATTGCTTCCTTGAGTGCCCTAGGGAACCGTCCCTCCAAGAGGAACTTGTTGACAATCTCCCTCAGGGCACCTCGAAACCCCTTGCAACCCGCTTTAATGAGCCAGGAGGGGCACGGATCAAGGTCGCATGTGGCTGGGCGGACAGATACAAGCAATCTGTCAACTTCCTCCAGGCTGAGTGGGTTAAAACTCACTAAACCCGGCACCAAAGACGTGCAAGGGGCCTCAAGTTCGCTCACTGTATCAATTGTGGTGGGGATGTCACGGCGGAGCACCAAGACTTTCTCTGCAAAATAGCTCGCAAAGGCCTCATAGCCAATATCCAATTCCCTAGTGTTTTGCCTGCCCTGTGGCAGAGCCGTCAAAGACCGAATTGTATTAAATAATTGGGCCGGGCGTAAGCTAGCAGATGCAATCATGGTCACATAGAAATCTCTTTTTGCGGCCTTGACTGCCATCTCATAGGATTTCATAAGCGTCCTATAGGATGTTCTTGATGTCTCGTCACGAACGCGACGCCACCGTCTCCCTAGTCGTCTCAGTTCTCGCTTCAGCTGGCGCAACTCCTGGGTATACCAGGGCACCTGCCTAGAACGAGTGCGGAGAGGACGCCTGGGAGCGATCTCATTGATGGCTGAGGAGAGCCGGTCATGCCAGTCCTCCACCAGCTCATCCAACGAACCACCAGGGGGCCTTGGATCCCGCACCACCGTCTGAAGCCGCATAGGGTCCATCTGGCAGCACGGGCAAGCAAAAATCCGCTCGCCGCCCAAACAGGGTCGGGGGTGACACATTCAGACGGGCCTTCAGAGCCCGGTGGTCTGGCCATGGCACTGCTTCCACAGTGATCCAGTCCACCATCACCCCAGCCACGAAGATCAGATCGAGCGTGTGACCGGCCCGATGCATGGGGGCTGTGACAAGTTGAGTCCCAGTGCCACCATGGACGACACTAGGTCCGTAGCCCGGCTGGAGGCCGCGTCCTCGGCATGGACGTTGAACTCACCCAAGACAATCAGCCGAGGGTGCTCCAATGCCCAGCCTGATACAGCCTCCAGCAGGGACGGCAGGCTATTGCCCGGTGCGTTAGGCGGTCGATACACCAACCAAATTGCCAAACTCTCCTCGGCCTCCAGCATCACGCCGACACACTCTGCGCCCGCAATCTCCACGGCTGGGAGCGCCCTGAAGGAGTAAGCCTCCTGAATGAAAATAGCTTAGGCAAAGTTATGTGCATGCACACACGCTTTTGCTGTTTGAGGGGTATACACAAATGCCCTTTTAGTTTCATGCCCAGCTGGGAAGACGATTTTCATCCTGCCTGTTTTGGTTGCCAAAATGCTCATTAGTTTTTAAAATGGTTTTTTTTACATTAAATGCAAATACAAGCATTAATATTGTTCGGAGAAAGGAACAGCTGCTGTTTTATCCTAAGCACGGAGCAGCCGGAGAAGCCGAAGGGGCTTTAAATATGTAACCAGGTGGCCACAAAATTCTCCCACCTATGAGAGCCCCCTGGACTGCAAGATCAAATCAGTCAATCCTAAAAGAAATCAGCCCTGACTGTTCCCTGGAAGGCCAGATGCTGAAGCTCAGAGACTTTGGCCCCCCAATGAGAAGGAGCCACTCCCTGGAGAAGACCCTGATGCTGGGAAAGGCTGAAGGTCAAAGAAGGGGATGGCAAGGATGATATGGCTAGACGGTGTTATCGAGGCAACGAACATGAAATTGAGCAAACTCTGGAGCACGACGGAAGACAGGAGGGCCTGGCGTGTTGTGGTCCATGGGGTCACGAAGAGTCGGACTCGACTGTGCGACTGAACAACAACATGTCTTCCTACTCTGCCAGAGTAAAGTCCATAAACGTTATAGGGACAGCAGAAGCCAATCAATTTTTGTTTAGGGTTGTTTTAATATAATCATTGTCGAAGGCTTTCACGACCGGAGTACATTAGTTGTTGTAGATTTTCCAGGCTGTACGGCTGTGGTCTCGGCATTGTAATCCCCTGACGTTTCGCCAGCAGCTGTGAATGGCATCCTGAGAGGTATAACACAGAAAGACGGAGTACTCTGTCTCAAGGTGAGAAGAAAAATGGTAGGCAGGTAATTTATATCTACTCAGGAAGGTGGAGTAGGGCTGAGTCATTGTAGGGGTGGCTATGCTCCTGCAGAGTGCAGGGGGTTGGACTAGATGACCTGCAAGGTCCCTTCCAACTCTAACATTCTATGATTCTACCCCACCTTCCTTTTTCTTTGTTTCCCTTTGTGTGATGCTTTTGCAGCGTGGGTTTGATCACTGTGAACAAG